TCGGAATCTGCAAACTTTAGGGAGCTTAGCCAGCACAGAAACCTGGCTGTTTTGAACTAGTGAAGGGCGCAGAATGTCATATGGGGACCTTGTCAAGAGTGCACGCGTTTCGGTGACTGGGGCGCCAAGTGGCCCACGTATGGAACAGGGTGAGCAATAGCCTTGGAGTTGGGAGTCAACTATGACTACCATCCATGAGAAATATTCAAATTGTTCTTCGCTGATTGGTAAGAAAAGTAGGGTGAGCAAGCGGATTTGAGAATTCGGACTTTCTCAGCTCACCAACGGAATGGATTATGATATTGCTGCGGAGTAGTCGGCGTAATCGGCGTAGAGTCAAGCACGCAAGTAGCGAAGTCTTTGTAGGCTTGCACACATGTAAAAATGAACTAGCTAACCTATCCGAGAATAGAAGTCTTATTCTCACAGTATTCATAATTACTTTGAAAAGGCCATGTGTTTCAGTTTTGTCCAATTTCATGAACTCCGAAATGTTGCAGAATCCCGTGCTTCAACATGACAGCCAACCAAGCTGGCTCCAATCACCGATCCAAGCCGTCAGCTTCAGCTTTCAGGTCCAGTGCTTCTGCCGCACTGTCAGGCGGAATATTCAATGAGAAGGGAACCATGCGAGCAATCGGCAATAAAATGATGTCGATGACAAAACTGATCGGCATGCCAACGAGAAGTGACGTAGAAGTTCATGTCGACCATCATTACACGTCGAAGATATACTCCGCAGGATCCCAGGTTTCCGGCACCGTCAAAGTAAACACGCAACAGGATACAGCTTTCGGGTTCGTCGAGATTAATCTCCTGGGAAAAGCCATTGTTCGACGGGAAGATGTCCACGTCATGACCGAAACGATACAGACACTCTTAAAGCTGTACATGCCTGTACCCGAATCGGCTTACCCTTCAACGAGGTTATTCAGACGTGGACACACTTACTCAATACCCTTCAGCTTCATCATTCCGCATCAACTCACCAGCAACGTATGCCAATACGAAGTCCAAACAGAAGCAGTGCGGCACCATCATCTCCGCCTGCCGTCTTCATTGACCGGATTTGAGAAGGATGATTTAGCAACAAGTATGGCAAAGATACAATACAGTGTGAGGGCCAGGGTTTTCAATATCGACGATGGTAGTACCGTACAACTACCGGCACCGATTCTTGAGTCTGAGCATCCGATTAGCATCCTCGCGCCATCCCCGGAAGATCCGCCCCTAGTCCTCGACAAGCACGACCTTCATTACGTTTTCGAGAGTACCAAACCTGTCAGAAAGAACATATTCTCTGTACCTACAGGCCAGATCACGGCCAAGACATTCCAACCCCAAGCTATCCGGTTGAGCTCTGATGGACACGCGGCATCCAGTTCGTCAGCCTACATAGACATTGCTTTCTGGCCCACGGCGCCAGATATGCTACCGCCGCAGGTCAAGATCAAGTCTACGAGTATATTGGCGCAGAACTGGGCTTCTACGCGACCGGCACAAAGCTTTCCCAACGTTGGCGTAAATCGAGAGCCAACAACACTGTCTACCCCTACTATCGTCAACGCCACAAACATAACACCGTGGGTTCAACATGTTCACATTCTGGAGGATGGAAAATCAGGAAGAACTAAGGGAGGTAATCGAGGATCGAGAGACATCACGGTGATACGCAACAGCAGCACCCAGGATGACGGTGTACCAATTACATATACATGTTCGACGCGAGTCGATTTCGGACTGCCAACCTCAAGCCACGTTTTTCCGCCTACATTCCACTCCTGCTTGATTTCGCGGACGTATACTCTTGAGATCAAGGTCACGGCGGGAGGAGCTGAGCTTCCCCTGTTGGTGCCTGTCCAGATATTCAAGGAACAAGAAAGTGGACGCTCTCAGGCGTCCACAGAGTCGGAGTTGCCTAGCTGGGATAATGTTGGAGGCGAAGCTGTCTACGCACGTTTGAGGGAGCATCGCCGAGCGCTGTGAGGGAACATCAATCCACATCACTAAGCGGCCGAATCCAACCAAAGACGACGACTAGTCCGCTACAAAGAGCAAGATTATCTAGCGAACTTCTTAGTTTGAGATTCGGAGTGATTGGACGAGAGCCACATCCATAGATCATGTAAGAAAACAGGAAGGCGCGGCTTAGAAAATGCTAGATACCAGGGACAATGAGCCAGGGATAATGAGGGTAAAACTACGCTATATTGATATCTTGTGCACGATTAAGTATGTCGAGTTCTGTAATCCATTCCTGTCCAATTACGCCAGTCAATCATGATATTCGTTACCATCAAATCGCTGTCACCATCCTATCTATACAGTGCCTTTCCTGCGCTTCAGCTCGATCTTTGCGTCAACAGGAGGGACAACAGTGACGCCGACCCACTGGTGTTTGGGCCTCTCGGCCAGCGGCTTAACGTCATAATTGAGGAACAAGTTGGCAACTACCATCTTCAGCTCGTGGGCGACGAAGAAGCGGCCAGGGCTGCATATCGTTAGTTCTTAGACGATGGCGGCTATATGAGAGAGAGAGAGAGAGAGAGAGAACGACTTACCAAGCGTGTCGTCCGTGGCCGAATGGCAGATGAGCATCACTCGTTGTGACCATCCCAAGGTTCTTCAACCTAAGCCCCTCGTCCAAGTTGCGGTCAGACTGCGGTTTCGCCTCGTACTCCTCCCTCTTCCTGCTCGTCCGGAAGGCGTCGTACTCCCTCGCGTTGGGGTTCAGTTCGTCGTCGTGGTGGAGGCCTTCGAGGTTAACGGTGAGAAACGTGCCTCTTGGCAGATGCCACCCCTCTGGCTCGTTGGTGATGCCCTCCTTGGCAATAACCTTACGCTCCATCAGGGTACAGCTAAAGTTGCTGAGCCTTTGGCTTTCACGGATTGCGCTGTCAAGGCGATACAGCCGCGATAGTCCATTCTTTGTCCAGCTGCCGCCCTCCTCGCGAAGAACGCGTTCTGCCTCTTCCCGGATACCCTCGATATAGCCCTTCGCTGGGTCGGAGCTCAACAAGTCTAGGACAATGCTGTGGCCGGTAATGACGGTCGTGTGGATCGCGGCGAACTGGATCGGCAACAGTCGCTTCGAAATAACGTAGGGGTCAAGTTCGAAGAATTTCTTCTCAGCCTTTGCCATGCGTATATCCCAGGTGATGAAGTCTTCGGGCGCAACCCAGCTCTCGTAGGCCGGATCCCCCGCCTCCTTCTTTGCCATATCGTCGAGTCGTTTCCTAATTACCGGTAGGCTGTGCTTCGAGGCTTTGCGCCAAAGCCACCAATTGGGTAATGCGATCAAGGGTCCGAGGATGGGCAGGATGGTCTGGGGAACCATGTGCAGCGCAAAACAGTTGAGAATGACCTGGTCGACAAACGAAACCATAGCCTTGCAGAACTCCTTGGTGCGGCATACGCCCTCTCCCACGAGCATGCGATTCGTCACGGGCGGCACGATCGTCAGCCAGGCGTCCCAGAGGTTAAGGGTCTTCCAGTCCTCGGTATTCGTGCCAAAGGCCTCGTCGACAGCGACGGAAACCTCTTCTTCAATCGCGGGAATCAGTGTGCTCAGGTGGCGGGCCAGACTCTTGTGGATTACCAAGGTATGCCACACATCATCGGCGTAAACCTTTCCAAGGAAGTTGTAGTCGCTGTAGAGGACATCGTTATGCGCTTCATGGGCGGAAACGACTGAGTCAGGGTACTCGAGGAGCCATTTCGTGAGGGACTGCGGGAGGATGATGTCGGGCGCTCTACTAGCGGCAGCGGGGACTACGAATGCGCGGTTCTGCTTGTTGTACTGCATTGTCGCATACAAAGTCAGTGTCTCTTCTGGCCTGACCAAGTCGCTCGCGCCGGGAATGATAGCATACCTTCTTATAGCCCTCAATGACCCAGTCTCGGTAGCGAAACATGTAGTAGTAGAAGTTCTTGAAGCGTGCGACGGTGCCCTTCCCATAGCCCACAACGGGAATGTTCTCTGGGTATGTGGGCTTCCATGTGTGATCGAGGATGAGCAAACCAACAAAGACGATGAAGAGGGAGCTGAAGACGCGCCCAGGCGTCAGCGACTCGGTGATTTGGGCGTGAAGACTGCCCGCCATGGTGACGTAGTGTACAGCAGAGCTATCGTTCTCTGAGCATCGTCGTCTCTAGCTTGCAGAGAAAAGGGACTGAGATCAACCCAGAGTGTAGGAGTGAGACGGAGATGTGTAGGTGGAATTTCGGACCTTAACAACAGACCGCTCAGGAGTCGACGATTGGTAATGCTGGTTTGGGCTTTAGGTCATGACGCGCTGGCTGCATTGGCGGCTAGGCTAGAGCCTGTCATTTGGACGGGACTTGAGCTGCCGGCGGATACCTACAGCTCTACTTTAATCAGGTAGCTACATTTCTTTTTCAGCTGCCTCCAATAGTCTCTGACAACGAACAACATCCCCTCCAAAGTTCCTAATTATGCCCCTCGCTGGGCACCGTTTGCTCCCCACTAGAGCTCTTGATTGGAACTTTGGGAGCATGTCTGTCGAATCCTGCCTGCTTAAGCGAGGCACGCTGTGACCTGTTTCAGGTACGTGCCGTCTCATCTTTGCTCTGGGTCGCGAGGTAACCTAACACGATGGCACCGGATTCACTTGCAGATCATGTTAGTGCAGGTTCGTGGAGGGGTGAAATAGCATATGCAGGGTATCGCTTCCTCTTGTCTCGAACCTTGCTTGGAAAGGCTAGGTGTATCGGGGTGGTCTCCGCCATCGCACTCGTATTGGCCGTGTTTCTCAAGGGCAAAGAAGCGGAAAAGACATAAGTGTCATCCTTCACACAAACCGAGAGCTGTTGAATATCGAACGAAAACGAGCTTATTTTACTCAATGCCTGTCTCCCGTGCAGCACAGGGGAGTCGTTGGTGAGCTTCTGAAGAATTGAGTTGGAAACTTCCAGCCCTCCATGGATTCTCCTTGAGAGCAGTGAAGGCCTTCCTCATTTCTGCATGTGGCCATCCGTTGTCATCTCAATGAAAGCTTGCCCACCCTTCCGGCTGAGCCGGACGCCCAGCAGACTCGGCCGTAAACGCACTCGACAGCGTCGAACGAGCCTCTGTCAAATGTAACCCAAGTCTTTCCAGCATCAAGCGTGATGTCGGAGCCAGATGGTCCAACTGCGACAGCCACCCCACACAGCCCCGGGGCCCATGATGAGCCCGATCGGTATCCGCCCGGAAACACCTCCGACGCGGTCCAGGTCTCTCCGCCATCCTCGGACCATGCTGATGTATGGAGTGAACCATTGACCACGTTGAAGTCGCCTCCAGTTGCAATGCCGTTTTGCGCGTCTCTGAATCGTACCGAGAACACCCCAGCCGAGGCACCACCCGCAATCGCACTGCTCGAGACATCCCACTCATAACCGTTTGCGCTCTGGAAGATCCTGCCGGGATCAATGCCACCCGATGCAAGATACCAACGACCCGCTGCGGTAGAGATGCAAGTCCCGCTGGCTGCGAATCCGAATTCGCCCTCTAAAGCAGAGGGCATGCCGCTGGGGTCCACGATGGTCCAGGTGTTACCCCCATCGAGCGTCTCAATCAATCGAAACTTGCCATCGACTGGGTCGCTCACGGCAATGCCCCTCTCATCGTCTTCAAAGTCGACGCAGTTGAAAAACGCCGATGCCTCCTCATTGGCGAAACTCTGCGTCCAAGACTCTCCTCCATTCTTCGTGATGTAAATGCGCGAGTCCGCTCCTTCGCCAATAGATAGGATGATTGCCTTTTCGGCCGAGAAGGCCTGCACGTCACGGAACTGCAGGTCGGCGTCTTCGGTCGACAATTCGGGACCAACTGATTGCCACGAAGCACCGCCGTCGGTGGTGCGAAGAACCGTTCCTCCTGTACCAGACACCCAGGCTATTTGGTCCGACACAGGTGACAATCCTCGGAATTGTTGTTGACTGTTGACCGGTAGAATGTCCCATTTTAGAGTCAGGTTCATGTTCCGCCCATGGACACCTCGAGTCACTGCAAGAGGGGACGCGCTCGCGACAAGAGTTGAGATGAGTGCAAGAAGGCGCCTCATCATGGCAGTATAGAGTTGGGATTCATCAGTTTGATAGGGGTAAGAAGAGGGGATCGTTCAAGAGAATTGGGTCTGTACCTAAAGTGCGTATACTTGTCAAGGCGGAGTTCGGGTTGGTTTGTGGTATACCAGCCTCCTCATTTCGGTGATTGCCATCTCAACATCCTTTTTGCAGATCAATGACGACCTTCCAATTTGGGCCACATCGTCTGGCGATGTTTCTTCGTCCGGACCCACTCACCAGTGCCATGGTCCTGGGATCTGTCATCATAGAAACACGATCGCTCGTGTCCTCGATGCACCTATTCCTAGCTTACAATATGTGTCCAAAATACTTGATTTGGGTGGTGCTTTGCAATTCTTTCTCATCGTTTTTTTTCACTCATTGGCCTCGGCTAGATACTCAAGCATCACTGTGCAATCTCCAGAAATGTGTGCGTAGTAAAAAATTCAACCATGGCCTTGTTGATTCTCAACTACCACAGTCACCCCTCAATTGATGGTAGGTATGTACACATGCACCAGATATCATCGAGTACCAAGTCCTTCCTGTTCTGTGAGAACTTTGGGAGGTTCTCGTCTGTCCAGCTTCCCTCACTTGCCTCCTGTAGCGAATTCGCCGTTCGCGATAGCGTCAGTGATCTCTTCGTCAGCGCTGAAGTAGACGTCTAGATCGCTGCGTTTCTCTAACAAGAGGTCAACTACCATGCGGCCAAAAACGATCTCGCCAGCTTCCCCCAAGTGGGTTCTATCGGTGCTAGCCAGGTTATAGTACTGGGCGTTTTCCTCCCCTATGGCGTTGACATAGTCGGTACTCGCAAGGTTGAGATCAAGCCACCTAACGCTGCTGGCCTTTGCCGCTGCGATCGTTTTGCCCCTCCATTCAGCAAGATCTCGAACCACTTCGCCATCTTCGAAGCGACGGCGAGTAAGAGACGTGATGAAGATCTAGGCATGGTATTAGTCGCCAGATTTGGTACACTGCAAATGAAGTGCGAACCCACCGGAGTCGCCCCGGCGTCCTTGAGCTCGGTCGCGATATTAACCAGATTGGCCCTGAACTCATCCAAAGTAAGACTCTTCTGGTCATTGTGGCCAAACTGGATAGTGACAACTGGCTCGTAGTCTGCCATAGTGTCGTTGATACCCTGCAAGAGTGAAGCCCAGCGGCCGTTTGACTTCCACGAGACGGTGGTAGAACCACTTTTGCCCCTGTTCTCGCCCTTTGCGGGGTCTTTGAGGTAAGACAGGAAGCCGTCACCCCAACCTCCATTGACCGCCACGGTGGAATCGCCGATGAGAAAGAAAAACGGCGGCTTCTTGGCCCGAGCCACGGCCGACCCCATGGTCATCGTCGCCGCCAATGCGAGAATTGATGTAAAGACGGTGGATCTCATTACGCGAAGTTTGTAAGCTGGAAAGCTAGTTTGTGATTTTGTTGACGATGCCTGAATGCACTTGGTTCATCAAGCTTGATGACCTCTCGGAATTCTGAGAGTTCTTCGATTTGACTTTCGATATTTATAGCTTTGATAGCCCCCTCATACGTCTCTCGTGAGCATACGACCTCTCATCTTTGAGGACTCCCATGATGGTCACGGACCATATGATGGCTGAGTCCACCAGTTGAGTCTCAACCTTTCGACCGAGACGACATGTCGAGCTGAACTGATGCCATCTCATGTACATTATTGCGCGTAGACGCGGGGCCCCATGGTGAACTTGCCGGCATATTTCGTTTTTCTCGGAGCAAAGGAAACTTTGGCGTCCACGATCAACGCATATCCGGGCAAAACATTCGTGCCAACCCTTTATTGCAGCATTTGTAACAAATTGGAGTTGCCCGCTCTTTGGAAGAGACACCCGCACAATCATTGCCCCGAAGTGGCATACATATATTGAACTACATCCCTGTAGATGCTGTCTTCGGGCTAATGCGGGTCGCTCCGTTCAACCATACCAGGTTCCTGGCCACCTAGTGTGGGTGTTTTCAGGTGAGCCGTAGTGATCGTCGTCTGCGCGTCCAGATCTGCCGGACTGACGGGGCAAGTCTGTCGGATTCCAGGACCAGGTTGGAAAAATAAATTTCACATTCCGGACGAGATGTCCGATACGTGCAGTTTATCCATGACGAGGTTCCTGGCCTGGAAGATTGTCTCCCAACAAAGCCACCCCCATGAACTGATATTCCACATTACAAAGATGAGATTGAGAGTTTTTCGTGGAATACACGACTGTCAATAATCTGAAGTGTGGATATAGTAAAGGTATGGAGCTTTGCTGCTTCGCCCTGCCGGCAAGCGAAAAGGTGAACTACGGAGCATTTGAGGGATTCATCCGTTCCTGGCTAGTCAGATTCACTCAAGCCAGGAAAGTATTCACTACAATGATCTTCTCATCTGGAGAAGACATAGGAGTAGGTAGGTCGAGGTAACATACGTTCTTAGGCCACTATTCCACATGAGGACATGAACAATGGAGTAGGCCCAAGGCAGATACGAAGCGATGAAGACATATTTTAACTGAAACCACATCTAATTAAACGAATCTGCCGTAAAGAGGTTTCACGAATAAGGATGAAAGAAAGATCAGGTTCGATCATCAAAGCATGGCGTCCTCGTGGCAGTAGGCTAGGACCAAGTCTAAAGTTACACCCGTGCTCCAACTGTCAGCGTGTAAGCGCGCAGGAATGAAAATTTCAGGATCGGCGTAACGCCTGTCCACTGCATTCTGATGGGTTTCACCAATACGCTAAACTTCTGAAAACGTGACTGTCATCCATCGGATTCCCACCTGGGCTCTTGGCGTGGAGATAGCTATACCTTAATCAGACTCAAACCCCTGCGTTAAGAAGCGTGCCCACATCTCAACATGCGGACTGCTCCGTCAAACCCGCACGAGGGGCATCAAAGGGATATCGAGCGGAGAAGTCTTAAGAATTGCCAGGGAAACATATTGAGTCTTGAGGTAATAGCCAGTAGTCCAGCTTGATTATTGTCTTCACCTTTTGCTTTCGCTCTTGATCATACACTCTTCAGTGTCGTCGCTTTTTATACCAGCCTGCCTGCATCTTACTCGCTCATTTGAGAACCGACTTGAGCCAATCTTCCTCTACCTTAGCAACATGAAGTTCGCGAATATCTTGGCAGTTGCCGGTGCAGCTGGTGCCTACACCGTCACCATCGTTGACAAATTCATGTACAAGAATATCGATCCTGTGGTTATACCCGGCCAGTATGCTAGCCACATGCACACATTTTTCGGTTCTGATGCTGTGACATTGAACACAACCACCTCCAAAGAGTTGCAAGCGGGCTGTGCCACAGCGGTCAACCCCAACGACTACTCGTCTTACTGTAAGTCAAGCTCTGTCAAAGAGATAATCTCTATCAAGATAGGAAAGTCTGCTTGTTAATCCGAAATTAGGGGTCCCTACCCTTTTTTACAAAAACGAAACCGCCACTGCCCCAGTTCCCATCAGTCGATTCAGTGCCTACTACGTTGCAATCGAAAAGGCAGAAGTCGCCATTCCACAAGACTACAAGGCTGTCGTCGGCAACGCCTCCGCAAAGTCCGAAGCTGATACCGAGCCTCTAGCGGGCATCCAATGGTTCTGCGAGGGTGGCCCCAGCGCAGGGAAGGACGTCAATGGTTTTCCGTCCAAGACCTGCAACACCCATCTGCAGACGATCCTCCTGTTCCACGACTGTGTCAACCAAGAGACACTCGAATCCACATACTCTGGAACCCAACACTGGACCGCCACCAGCAAGCCTGCCAACCGCTGCCCTCTTGATATGAAGAGGATGCCCCAACTGCGCTTCAGCATCCGCTATGATCTTCGCAAGGCTTTGCCTGACGGCTGGGAGGGAACCGCCCCTCTGGAACTGGCTTGCGGCCCCGCCTATTGCACCCACGGCGACTTCATCAATGGATGGCTTCCTGAAGCTGCCGAGAACATGTTACTTGCAAATTCAAAGAGGGATTTTGCCGGTGTAGATGGTCCTGCAGGCAAATACAGTGCTGGATCTGTCTGCGGTGCTCAGAACGCCACGGACGCTGATCCGGAGAACGGCACTTCCGACTATCTGACCAGCAAGCAGATTCTCCAGAGGCTTATAGACCAGAAGGCTTGATCAAGTGGATTTTGTTGTATTTGTTCGGCTTGGTCAAGTTTTGTTGTGTACGCTTGATAGCCGACTTTTCCTCATCAAACCTACGGTCGTCCAAGACGACGAGAGGGAAGGTGGTTTTTGCCTCTAAATCTGCGAAGACCCCTTACATCTAACCAAAGTCGTCTTATAGACTATTAGATTGATTCCTGGGCCTCGTAAACTGATAGTGGCCTTAGTTGTGTATCCTTTTTCACTGCTCTTGTATTACTACTACAACATTACTTACCTCACTTAAATCAATAATAATTGGGCCCATCCCCATTCCATGCCCGAACACAGCTTTTGCGAAGATGCTGCATAATGTATCACCTATGCAAACCTATGATTGAACTCAAAACGCAGATCCTTATGCGAACTGTAGCGGTCAAGTGTCTTGGAATTGGAAGGCCGGATTTGACTTGGGTGCGTTGAGTGAAGGGGTGGTCTTATATCCACTGTGTTTGTTGTGTACAGCCATTCAGTACATAGTTTGTAGATCAGTTATCTGGTACAGTATGGCTCACCAAGCTTTACAGCGTTAGGCACCCGATAGACCACGACCTACGTCCTAGGGTGCTGGACCTATGCGGCGGCTTCACCACAATCAACCGAAAAATGCGTAAACGAACCTTGTCATCGGAAGGAAAAGGCACGATTTCATTCCGAGAGTCTCTACCTCAAGTGTTTATGCAAGTTTGCCCTACACGGTTTAGTGAGGACAGTACTTGATTTCTGGGAGAATCATAAATTACATGGAATAGTTTGTCTACCTCAATCGGCCGAGTCGCTTCACTTGAAACCCTACGGGTGTCACTCATTCGGAAACTCTCACCTTAAGCCCGATAAACTGAGCCTATTCGAGGTCAAGTGTCTAGATTGAGTAATAATTACCCGGGAAGAGAGACAGCGGTCAACGGTGGAGAGCGGCGGAGAACGGTCGCCAGGGTCGATCCCTCCAAGCAAGGGCTGCTGAGCTGCTAAACCCTGCTGCGCATTAGTTGTCTTTTCCTTTCTTGTCTTTTTTTTTTCTTATCTCTAAATGAGCAAACCCACACTTGATCAGAGTTACCTTCAATTATTCTCATGTCTATGGGAATCTTCGCCTTGAGAAATATTCAAAGGATTGTTTCTCAAAAAGGTGAGCATAAGTTGAGCAGGGGGCCATGGGGTCGGGCCCTGATCAGATGCGCTGTTGATCTATGGTATCGGGTATCGTCCTTGTTTTAGCTAGGTACGTCGTTACGACAGCACTGATGAGCGAGGTATTAGCCATCTTCGGCCTTAGTGCTAGATTGGCGACGTACTAAAGTGCTCAACTGTTAATCCAAAGCAGAGAAAGATATTTCCCAGTAACCAGATGGGGCCAAAAGGGCGCAACACGTGCATGTGGAGCCAAGTATTTTCTTGCTGGCATAGAACTCGAAAATGGATTTTGAGTCAAACATATCTTCTTTCATTAACAGTGCCTCAACTTTGTCTACTCACCACCACTGCAATAGAGGAGACTGGCCTTCTTCAACAGCTCCGTTAACAAAAGCCCAGCCAACTCGAGGCAAAGAAGTGGTGCATTGAATATTCGCCTTTACGTGCAATTGACAGGACCTGCACGGAAGATGTCGCAAACGGCTGTAAAAACATCGTCCATACAGTTGAGAAACATTCACGGCACTATAGCATCTTCACCATCTACAGACTTTCACGACGACGAAGAGAGATCAAGGTCAAGAGAGAGATCCTGCTATGTTGAACGTGATGCCGCAAGTCTCAACGAATTGACCTTTCCTGAGGGCGGCTGGCAGGCGTGGCTGGTGGTCTTTGGATCATTTTGTGCAATGCTTTCGGTTTTCGGCCTCATCAACTCGGCTGCCGTCTTTGAGTCATACTTCTCTGAAAACCAACTCGCTGATCATTCTTCATCCGAAATTGGATGGATATTCAGCCTGTACCTTTTTATTGTCTTCTTTATTGGCATTCAAGTTGGTCCCCTATTTGACCAGTATGGTCCCCGCGGCCTCGTTGTCGCTGGTGGCCTTTGCATGTCTGCAAGCCTTCTCTTATTGAGCTTATGCAAAGGTTTGCCCCTTCTCACGGCTAAACTCGTCATTTTTCCTAACGGGTGTCATACAGAGTACTATCAAATCCTTCTGGCGTACTCGATTCTAGGTGGCTTGGGTGGTGCTCTGCTAAACTCACCCTCTTATGGCGCTATTGCTCACTTCTTTGACTCGCGCCGAGGCTTTGCC